CCCCGTCGGTCTTGGGTTCTTTGGCGCCCATGTCAGTGTCGGAGGGCTGCTTGGAGACAAAGACACCACCGATCTCGCCCAGTTCCTGGTTCACCTGGAAGAACCACGTTTCAAGTCTCGCTGCACTTGACATCACTTCACACATGCAAATCAACTGTGAGAAGCAGTTCACGATTGCAGAGGACAAATACAAGACAAGCAAAAGCCAGTTTGCTGTTACTGCCACTGCGGTTGCTGAATCATGCTAGTGTGCAAGGTTGCGACAACAACAGAATCACACGCCTTGTTCACTTCCATCTCGATGGCACCTCTTCCGACATCGAACACCTTGTTGGTCTCCTTGAAGATCTCATCCTGGCCGCTCTTGCCATCAGCCTGCATGGCAGGCAATCCAACAACCTGATCGTAGCCCAAGTTCATTCCTCGAGCTTTGGGGTCAAGGAAACCACCAGTGCGGTAGGAAGGCACGCTGAACTCACCACCCCATGTGAAGCCAGGCTTGAAGGAACTGCCCTCACCCTTGGCCACCAACTCCTTCACAGTGAAGAGGAAAGGGACGTACTCACCATCTGGAAGCTTCACCGTGGTAGCTGCGAAGTCCATGCCATCCTGCTCCTTGAAGGTGATTGGGTTGGGATCCAAAGTGCCCTCGACGAAAGCCAGTGTGTAGGTCTGACGTGTGGTCAGCTTGGTTGTGGCAAACTCTTTGCCGTTGTCAGTGTCGATCTCAACAGCAAAAGACTTGGGCTCGAAGCACACGTTGATCAGCTTGGAGCCAGCTTTCACAGGCACCTCAGAGCCGTTGGATTCCACAGTGGGGCAGCGGTTGGCCAAGCCAGAGCCCCTCACCTGATTGTAAGTTAGCTGGCTGAACTGCTCAGCAGTGATGGCCTTTGCAGGCTGGGCTGCCACAAGACCGAAAATCACACCCAAAGCAGCGCCGAAGCTCAAGAGAGGCGCAGCCCAAGAGTAGCTGCTCTCGCTGTTCTCAGTCTGCAGTGGTGCTGCCAAGGAGTCCGCATGGTTTGGGGTTGTTGGCGCACGCGGCGGCTGCGTGGGCACCCCACCAAGGAAGCAGCTTCCGAAGGCAGCTGCTGCAAAAAGCACACCCACCACTGCACCACGAGCCATGGCAAGAGGCTTCAAAAAAGAACACCTGAGGAAAAAGCTGTTGAACCGATTCATTGTATAGACATCCGTTCATCACCAAAGTCTTTGTGGCGCTCGCTGCAGGACTGCTGAGATAGAAATTCTAATCTGAACTAGTAGAACTAGTAACTAGCCATTAGGTCTCCGCGAAGTGGCAAAAGTCAAGCAGTTTGAAAGCTTGCTCGCCCTTTTTGCACGAGCTCGTGCTTCGTCTGCTTCTCAGGCATTCACCACCTTGCCGTAAAAAATGCCCTTCAGCAAGATAGTCCTGCGCAAGAGTCTTCAAGGCCCTTGAGTTACCCGTTGTTTGGTTGCGATTGCCCAGGCAACCCTATGAGCTCTGATGGTCTTGGCCTCCTACTGGTCTACAGTCTACGAGCTGTACATGTGGGGAGATTGGGTGTAAGATGATGTGTTTGGGTCAGACGCTGTGCCAGGTTGGAGAAGTCTAGATGGATTACTAGATTGCTTAATTTGCCTTAATCTCCTCATGTGTGTGTACACCTTAAACTCATAGGGAACCTGTTGCTTTGTCTTGGAATTTGCAGGGGGGTGCAGGGGGACTGGAGCTGATTTGCCTATCCAGTCCAACAAAACTGGCATTTCGGTGGAAGAGTGGTCTGATCAACCACCTGTACCTGTTTGTGACTCGATATTTCCCAGTGGGCCTGCTTGTACAGACGACAACGAGACGCCCTGATGAAGAAGTTCACTGACGACGACGAGATCATCGAAAAGGAAAGACGAAGAAAGCCCGTCGGTCGACCGATGCGGAAGGAAGATGAGGATGATGTTGACATGGACTTCATTGACCTTCCAGAGGAGGGGCCAGAAATTGGCAAATCCCCTTCAGATGCGAACCAAAGTCAAGACCGCCATGAGACGAAAATCAGACGAAAGATTATGATCGTAGAAGGAGTTCGGCAATGCAACAGTCTACACACGACTTGATACACCTCTGAATGAACTTGGACATCGAAACGAAGGAGGTCAATATAGAGTCGCCAATCGATGCATCGATGAGTCGGGACTGAGATCCAAAAGCTCATTGGACGAAGTGCTACACAAAGCGCAAACCATCCGAGCCAAGCTTCCCAAGGTGAGGGACCTCGTACCTGATCAATTACAGCTCAACAAAAGTGCATGTAAACAAATTGAACCGGGATGCGATCGAGGAAACATCGAGATTATCCCGCAGACAGGTACCACCTTCTGCCAAGAGTATTGGAATTGCCCTTCAGCATCTCACACTGCAATTTACCAAGATCCTCCATCGTTCAAGCCAGAAGTGTTCATCACAAAGGACACGCCTGAATACCGCGAAATTGAATCAGTCAGCCACAAACTCAATAAATTGTTGAGGCATGGTATTGGAAAGGCATGGGTGAGAGGAGGTAGAGGAGGCGGCCACCCCGCTCTAAGTTACAATGAAGGCGGATGGGTCAACATTGACGAAGTCCTGCAGAATGGATATATATTCGGTGACAACCGTGGACAAGAATACCATCGAGCGCAGCAATCTGGAGGCTGGAAGAATTGAAAGCATACAGGCTTCTCATGATCTGCAAGAGTATGTGGTGTTCGAAAACGTCTTCAAAATCGAGCAAGATGTCAGATCGCAGCTGCATGCATTCCAAGGAAAGATATGGACAAGGAAGAAGAACTCAAATATTGGAAAACATGGCACCTCAAGCGTGAGGCAATCAAGAAACCAAGACATCAAAAAAGGCTTTTCCCAGTAGCAGTACGAGCAGTAGCGTCCCGTGTTTTAGAATGCAGGTGAACATCGGTGAACATTGTGGTGCTCTATCCATGACATACCTCACACCTCATGACGGCCACCATTGCGATGAACCTTGGCGGTAGTTTTCACATGACATCTATCCACCGGACGATGTCCATCATGAAGTTAGGAATATTGCCAGGTGGGACGGAGCAACTGAGGAGCAGTTCATTCTTCAACTATTACGCCCCTTGGGACAGGAGATCGGAAAGCATTTTGAGATCCAGAAGACCACCTCATGAGGTCATTCCGGTAGTGCTCTATGTGCCGATTGCCATATTGAGAAAGCCTGGAGCACGACTTTCGGAGACCTCCTATACCATCATGTTTGATCCTGTACCATGGGATTACGTGAAAGGCGCTTGGTACAAAGATCCAAAAGATGAGATTTGGAAACGTCTATTGGTAAGAGGAATCAGTGATCATCTCATTCTTGCAGTACGATTTCCGACTACATTGGCAACGAAGCACCTTATCCTTGAGAAGGCAAAAGAAGTGGTTGCATCGGGAAAAGAAAAGGACGAGAACATCCGAAAGCTCAAGAACCTCAAGTCTGCTGATCCCAATGTTACGGTATCATCGATGGAGGAGAAGGAGCGAGTCCAAGTGACATGGAATGAAATCATCTCCCGTACATGCGAATCATTCATGCCCGCTGATGGGAACATCCCATGTCCAGCGTGTATGACACTTGTCACCAGGAACTCTATCTAATTGCTTGAAGCTGTGGCATGAGGAACACTATTTCGACATCATCGCCAACTCCAGATGAAGAAGAACAGGATGACGATGTGGAGATGGTCGAGGTCGAAGAGAAAAGGAAAGAACCCGAAAGTCAAGACAAAGAGATTGAAGATCAAGAGATGCTGGATGAGAGAGATCAAGGGAGAAATGAAGCCAACCGAAGTGGGAGATGAAGTCGTTACTTAGCTTATCTTGACGACAATTTTTGGAACGACGATGATGGCAAACGTGAACCATTCTCAGTCAAGAATCCAAAGAACACCTTAGCAGATGATGAATTTCATACACCATCCTACTTTGAGGAAGAGGTCGACTATGTCCTGATGGATGATCTTGAAGCAATCAAGAAAGGCACCTATCGACATAGTGACCGTCTGGAATATGTCGCCAAAGGTAGGGATCCCACCCGGACCGGACCAGAAACACAAAATCAGAAAAAAGGACGTGACCATGAGGATTATGATTGGTACCAAGGACATGGTCCCAAAGGCTTCGATCCAGATGACTACAAGGACAACGTCGATCTGCCGAACTGGTGTCAACTACCAGAAGAAATCCTTATCGACCAAGGGGTAATGGCAGTCTGCGAGGACATTGGGCGAGGACCCCATACATTGATGGACAGATATCTGATCAGGTGCATGTGCCAGATTGTGGTACCGATATACCGATCGTTCCATCAAACAAAAGTTTCCGACTCCAAGTGCAAGTTCATGCAGAAGCGCATGGATGTGCTTTGAGACTTCACATTGGGTGAAAGGCAAATGGAAGCCTATACTGACAAGTATCAAGTCACAATCAATGAGTCATGGCATAGGTTCCACCGTGAGACAGTGGAAAGCAATCTACAACGCTGACACCTGTTCCTACTTCCAATACTATCTCAGGAACAGGGATGGACACAAACATCTCAATCCACTGGCTATTTCCCCGACCAGTGTGGACACACCATGTCCGAAAATGCACACGGCACCACAACGAGAGCGCAGTCGGGACAAGCACCCGCTCCAGCCACCCAGATTTTGCGAGCCTGCGCAGTCGAAATGCACTTCGACGATTCTGAGAGGCATGAATGTACTGTAAATAGCAGCGAATTAGCCGTCCACGCCCGCGCCGTCACCTCGATCTAGCCCCGGTGCTTAACCATTACCAAGAGGTGCACAGCCTATGTGATTCCTGTTGAGTACTGTAAGCTTCCCATTTCGCAGGTGGTTGGATGCCTTTGTTTCGGCACTTGGAGCGCAGGCTTCTTTCTATTTGAGATTCTAAAATGGGATCTTCAGTGTGACATGCCTGATTTTGCCAATTGAAAACCTTGGTGGCAGCTTTACAGATACATTTCGATCTCTTCTTACATACAAACCTCCAGTACCCGGGTCTCAGATCCGAAGGGCTGTGAGGTGCATCGGATGGGATGCAAGTTGGTGTGGGAAAAAGAAAATATATATATATAATCTCGCAAGGCTATCTGTTTTAATTTGCTCAATTATACAGACTGTCAGTAATCTATTTGTCCTGAACTGGTAGTTCTTGATCTTCACAGACTGGTATATCAACCAACCTGCCTTCAATGAGTTCACAATACACGGTTAGAGTTATTTATCTCGTCACCATACTTATCCACTCTCCATCCTTCTGTTTCAAGACTACATGTGCTTCCTTCTACCTTGTTTATTGCAAATGCTTTCAATGTATCTTTCAGGGAGTTTATAATGTATTGTTTGCGCATCAATATCATTGATTTGTCCTTCGGAAGCAACCGTTGTATGTCCTTTACAGCAAAAAATTGCTCTGGTTCAAAGCTACACCTTACAACGTAATATAGAATACAACATGATATAGAATCATGCTGCGATATTCCTCGATTTTGTCACCATAAGGTTGCCAAATGCCAAAATGATTGAACGCTTTGACTGCATCAATTGCTTGAAAAACGCCTTGCACATGCCTTTGATGTACCAATGTCTGTTTTTGCTTGCGCAATATACCTTCTTGAACATCACCGGAGACTAGAAACCAGTTGGAACAATAGCGCAGTCATTATCCAACAGTTTGTTGAAAAAGGATTTGATGAATGCTTGTTTGAACTCGAGCATTGCAAATTTGCTCTATGTTCTTCATCGCTGACTGTGATACATACATCAGAAATTTGAGTGTGAAGTAGTTTGTTTAAAGCTGAGCTTTGATTTCAATTTATGTTTTGCTTCAAAATTCTATTGTGACTTCATATCCATTGTCGCTGAACGTACCAACATTTCTTCTGTTTTTATTGGAAACGTGACTTTGGAATCCTCATGTTCATGTCAATACGCATTCGTGCTTAAATTTCTATGTTGGATGCATAACCGTTGTTGCTTAACTCAAGAAGTGTTTCTGTTAAGGCATTTTTGTGCAATACTGATGATACCGAAGCAAACCAAGGCAAGACTGAACACATGATAGCTGAGATCGCTATTTGTTGAACCGCTTACATTCCAGCATCTTTGTGGAAACA